GCGATGCATCTCCATTAACGATGACACATTTCCACGACATGGTGAAAAACGGGGAGCGTTCAAATGCAACGTTGTTCCTTTTCTAAGTGTGAGTTGCAAAAAGTAGGTCTCTGGAAGAGACATTGTCATTGAAAATATTATACGCAGTGAATGGGAAAGAAAAAGCTCAAGCCGGGGATTTGCAAGCGTGAATCCTTTGAACGCGCAACAAAGAAAGGGGGAAAAGAAGAACGAAGCGTAAAAAAAAAAAAGAAAACAGAATAGATCGGATAAACAGTAGCTAAATCCTTTCGCACGCCGTCTATTTTTTCGTCCATTTCAATTTATATCCCTATCCGACAAATTGCTTGCACGATTTAAATGAAATTTATCATATCGAGAGACATCTCCGACTTTTATTCTATTCTATATAAAAACAATGTCCGCGTCAACAGAAAATTCACGTGTGCGTACGTAGGTCCATACATCAATAATAACATTCATAGATTGTTCGAAACGAATATTAATATCTCTTTGAGCACAGAATACATCACGTAACTCTTTGAATACAGGGAAGCGTTATACAGTTGTTACATGAGCGCAAGGATCAATTATAAGCGAGAAGAGTTTCGAGCGTATTGAACATATTAAGCATTAAACTGTGCACTTTTTCTATTTTTTCTGCAATTCCCTTTCCAATAATCTGTCGTTATCCCGAGAAAAGACTCTCACGACCTGCTGTTTTTCATCCACGAGATCCCTCGGCGCTTGTTATTATTATATCTCTATGTACGTATTTTTTAACAATACAAGTTCGCACTTTCGTGAACATGAATAGATCAACGTTGACGCGTGTCACGCAAACATTTGAAGTCAACGTGCTCTTTAAGAGAATATATGTATACACGTTCGCCCTCGTTTTCTTCTTCACTTTTATTTTTATAATATCTCGAGAGGTACACGTAGCCAGAGATATCATAAAAGCATTCCTTTATTAGTCTCATCTCCCTCGACGTATTCGGATTTCGAGGTAACCCGAATAACCTGCGTGACCCCATCGTTCCATAAAAATATACATATTCGTGTTGTTCAACAAATACATGTCAATACGTACATCTATGTATGTAATTCACTGAATTTTTACCCAATGTAAACGTACATAAATATACATCGCCCACAGTGGCATGAGACTAACGATGTATACGTATGTAGGGTAAAAATCCAATGGGTTAGGCGTACAAGTACGTCAGAAGCCATAATCTATAGGTATATCCAATCCGACCTCGACGATATACGTACGTATGCGCCTAAAATTATGACAACTCATCGTCAATCTTTTACGAAGTCCGTCGCTCCCAATAATCAGGAACGGTTCCCAAATATTCCTCTGCTTGCACACGAAAGAGAAGATGTTATCATTCCCCGAGTGCAATCGCAAAGATACGATCTGGGCGACGACGTTTTTCGTCGCATCAGAGATCGACCTATTTTTATCGTCAATACACCGGTGGCGAATAAATAAAATCCGCAAGTCGAACCGTAGTCACATCCTGATAATAAATAACGTCGGTAACATAAATTCTTGTTACATTCAAATCTTTGCTTGTGTAATCTGTAGAACTGCAAATCCTCGGAGACTTTCCTATTAATCTCGCTCCGGTTTTCCTCGGCTCTTTCCCCTTCAAATCGGAACGGAATCAATAAAGGAAATATCTGATTATGCGTATCCATTGAACGTACTCCACGATGTGACGAAATCATTAATAAGAGTGTTTTAATTTAGGACAAATAAAAACAGCTCATACATGTATCTATTAAAACCAAACTAAATTCACGACGCGATGCGTCGTGTATAACATACACAACTCGATGCCTACAACAAATTTTTTAACCTGGGTCAAGTATGAAAAAGTGCGTAGCAATATTGATATGTGTTTGTAATATTTACACAATAATAATTGACTGTTCTTCGAATAGTCCTTGATTCCAAGTCATTTGTATGAAATTGAACTACCATTCGAAAATCAGTTTTAAGAAAAAAAAGCATGGAAATATTGAAAAATTTGGAAGACAGTAATTTGATCTGTACGATATAATTAGCCCTTCTAGTGCCGGGCGAAAAAGAGGTGCTTATGCGAAGATAACCGGACGAATCTTACGATTTTACTAGGATTTGGAAAAAGGATCATAAAAACCAAACGTAACGTAATAAAACGTAATGAAATTAGATTTCTTATAACATATTATAAATTTATTTTGAGATAGAGATCTCTCGTAATGCGAATAGTAAAGCGCTACAAGGTACGGGCCGATATATCGGTTCTGGCACTTTTCGCCAGTGCAGCGAATGTCGAAATATCGGCCTCCAGCACTAAAAGGGTTAAAGAAGTAACGCGTACTTGCATTATAAAGCTCTAAGTATTGCGCAGCGCGCTACCTCGCGCGACTACGCCTGGCTATACGGGGTAATATGGGCCGCGCGACCCGTGCATTCGGTTACGCGTGGCACGCGGGCAGGCCCGCTGTAAAAGAAGCCGTCAGACAGTACGTTTGGATGGAAGTCGTCCCGTTTGGTACTATTGTGGTAGGGGAACACACCTCTGGACGGTACCATTGCAGAACTCTGGTTTAAACCCGTCACATCAACATTACCATAAATCAAATATCGCGTAAGTTATTACCTGTCGGACGGAGTGACAGCCAAAGGAAGATCTAGGTGAAGCTTTTGCCTAAACATCGTCCCTGTCAAGCAAACGTATGCACGAGGAGAGTTTACGTTCCCGTAGCATACACCTCGTAGCTACATTGGACGGTCGGGGCCAATCGAGAGAGAAGAGAGTCGAGTTGCGTGGTCGTGATGGTAGGTAGAGCATCGTTGGAAGATACGAGCATGAGAAGGGGTTGGCTCAATGGTGGGGGGTAGACGAGCGGTAGAACTGGTAGGGGTTGGTGGTGGTGATCGAAGAAGGGAATGACCCCGTGTACCGGGGTCAACCGTTGAACTATACCGTCTCTTTCCTTCTCTTTCTTTCTCTTCCTGCTCTCTCGCGGACTTTCTCGTTCTCTCTCTTATTCTTCCGTAGGAACACTCGTATGCTCTGTTATCAGCGTATACCAAAAGCGTATCATTAAAAGAACATTACCACCTGAATACTATTACGCGATCTTCGTACACATGTCTACATGAACGACAAGACCTCAAGGTCTAGTAATATTTATGAGCAGATACATAGAATAAAGACGAAAGCAATATTGACAATCAGTTAATAAAAATCTTTATAGTTTCCTTACTGTATTAGAAGTGATTAGTTAGTTTCTTAGAATAAGCTAAGCTTGGCTTCTGGATCGATTTTCCTGTAGTGAATAACTTCAGAATCGCTTCTTCATTCATATAAACGGCAACAAAGTAAATAGAAAGTGATCAGTTCGCGTGAAATCTTACAGGATTTACCACGTGTATTAGATATGTATATATTTAAAGAAATACGCGATAGAGAACATTGGTAATAGTTACTGATCAGGTCTGAGTCGATGTAGAAATAACCTTCCAAGTAAGTAAATGTTCTTTTGGTCATTTATAGTACTGGGTTAAGTCGTTCAAGACCGGATCGTTGCGAGACCAAATACGAAAGTCAGAATAGAAAATCCTAGGTACTTCGTCTGAAGTTAATATGTTTACAATGTACTGAAAACTGAAATCCCTCCATACTTCAAGAGGAATAGTAATTTAAACGGGATTTACTTCCTTAAATTAAAAATTTGTGATGGCAATGGATAAATCTTAAAATACATACTACTCGAGGCAGCTTCTCAAGCGCCAAAGTAATAGACTAGGTAAAAATATTATTTGCATATATAAATTACACGTGCAATTAAAAGATAAATGTGACTCGAGTTCAAATGAGTAATATCAATAAAAATAGTATTAATGTAATTGTAAGAAAGTCAAAGTGGGAACAGATACCACAATTAGATGACCTTATTTCAAGTTCCAGAAAAGTTAAATCCTTTTATACACTAAAGATAGAATGTAACGTTAAAGATTGTGCACTTTTTTTTATACACATTTACGCTTTTTATATTATCAGAACAAGAATGAAAAATTACTGAAACAATTCCTCTTGTTTCTAATATTTCCATTATTCATGTACCCCCAGTCGGTATAAATACACTGTTTAGCTTTTCAACTCGAAATAAGAATTTAAGATTATTTATAAGCTATATAATTTTACAACTAAGAATGCAACAGAGAAATACGTGCGAACCATTCACACTCGAATTTACAAAACAGAACGCGTCAGGTAAATGTTTTTCATTACTAGAATAATTAATTACTTGAAAAACGTATATTAATCAACACGGTCTTCTTTGCTCTATTGAGTATTTCTGCCACGCATCTTGGGAATTTGTTTCCATCACTAACTTAAACATTTCTCCGTTCCTGCAAGTTTGCCTCGGAGCATTCGCTCTCCTCGAGAGTCCTTTATTCCAAAACAGGAAAAAAGTTTTAAATCTGATGAGAGCGCAGAAAATATTCGAGCCGTTCTGAGGCAGCCATCCTTGCATGACTGCTCTAACCTTACTTTATCGTTCGCGCTATAACTCTATTTTACGTTCTTCCAGAAAATTTCGAGTAAACTGCTTCAAAGTAGAATTATTCACTCATAGAGAAACGAAATACGTACCAAAGCAATTACCAGCAGCATTGCCTCACTTCAGTACGAAAATTTTAGAAAGTACATATAAGCTTTTGTAAACATATATTTAACTAGAAAAAATATTTTAAAGTTGTGTAAATTGAAAACACGAAAAAACAGTTGATATAACTTATAGAAATATCACGATGGTATAACAATAAATTAAATTTAATAAGCATCGCGTCCCATCGAAAATCTCATGTCTATTTACCACTCAAACGTTTCGCTGTTTCTTATCGGCATCTTGAAATATGCGAATCACGGAAGGAAACAACGAGGGTAAGTAGATACATACAGGAGTTTTGACAAAAAAGCAAGACGTACCTGTGACGCTGAGCAGCGACATATTCGAAGATGTTCCTAGTAGATCGGCTTAACGCGCTGAGAAATTCGCTTAGTTGGCCGAGCGGCACTTGACGTGGCGTGGAAATGCGTAGGAAAGTGATGCAGTTACACGTATAACGAGACACGCCGGATCAAAGTACCGCACTCGCGTATTACGGCGTACACAACCCCCTTTCCGCACCAATATTACTTTACTATTTTCTTGTTTTTCGCACTGTGCGCCTGTACTACACGTTAGAAATGCGTGAATGCGAGAGGAACACGACGCGCGCGTATACGGTTAAACGCGCATATTACACTCGTATTTATGTATATGTCTATTTATAATACGTATGCTTTCATATATATACATATATATATATATTTGTATACGTGAATATTACAGAGGAAGGAACAGAGAGAAGAGATAGAGATCTTTCGCAATGCGAATAGTAAAGCGCTACAAGGTGCGGGCCGATATAAGTTCTGGCACTTTTCGCCAGTGCAGCGAATGTCGAAATATCGGCCTCCAGCACTAAAAGGGTTAAAGAAGTAACGCGTACTTGCATTATAAAGCTCTAAGTATTGCGCAGCGCGCTACCTCGCGCGACTACGCCTGGCTATACGGGGTAATATGGGCCGCGCGACCCGTGCATTCGGTTACGCGTGGCACGCGGGCAGGCCCGCTGTAAAAGAAGCCGTCAGACAGTACGTTTGGATGGAAGTCGTCCCGTTTGGTACTATTGTGGTAGGGGAACACACCTCTGGACGGTACCATTGCAGAACTCTGGTTTAAACCCGTCACATCAACATTACCATAAATCAAATATCGCGTAAGTTATTACCTGTCGGACGGAGTGACAGCCAAAGGAAGATCTAGGTGAAGCTTTTGCCTAAACATCGTCCCTGTCAAGCAAACGTATGCACGAGGAGAGTTTACGTTCCCGTAGCATACACCTCGTAGCTACATTGGACGGTCGGGGCCAATCGAGAGAGAAGAGAGTCGAGTTGCGTGGTCGTGATGGTAGGTAGAGCATCGTTGGAAGATACGAGCATGAGAAGGGGTTGGCTCAATGGTGGGGGGTAGACGAGCGGTAGAACTGGTAGGGGTTGGTGGTGGTGATCGAAGAAGGGAATGACCCCGTGTACCGGGGTCAACCGTTGAACTATACCGTCTCTTTCCTTCTCTTTCTTTCTCTTCCTGCTCTCTCGCGGACTTTCTCGTTCTCTCTCTTATTCTTCCGTAGGAACACTCGTATGCTCTGTTATCAGCGTATACCAAAAGCGTATCATTAAAAGAACATTACCACCTGAATACTATTACGCGATCTTCGTACACATGTCTACATGAACGACAAGACCTCAAGGTCTAGTAATATTTATGAGCAGATACATAGAATAAAGACGAAAGCAATATTGACAATCAGTTAATAAAAATCTTTATAGTTTCCTTACTGTATTAGAAGTGATTAGTTAGTTTCTTAGAATAAGCTAAGCTTGGCTTCTGGATCGATTTTCCTGTAGTGAATAACTTCAGAATCGCTTCTTCATTCATATAAACGGCAACAAAGTAAATAGAAAGTGATCAGTTCGCGTGAAATCTTACAGGATTTACCACGTGTATTAGATATGTATATATTTAAAGAAATACGCGATAGAGAACATTGGTAATAGTTACTGATCAGGTCTGAGTCGATGTAGAAATAACCTTCCAAGTAAGTAAATGTTCTTTTGGTCATTTATAGTACTGGGTTAAGTCGTTCAAGACCGGATCGTTGCGAGACCAAATACGAAAGTCAGAATAGAAAATCCTAGGTACTTCGTCTGAAGTTAATATGTTTACAATGTACTGAAAACTGAAATCCCTCCATACTTCAAGAGGAATAGTAATTTAAACGGGATTTACTTCCTTAAATTAAAAATTTGTGATGGCAATGGATAAATCTTAAAATACATACTACTCGAGGCAGCTTCTCAAGCGCCAAAGTAATAGACTAGGTAAAAATATTATTTGCATATATAAATTACACGTGCAATTAAAAGATAAATGTGACTCGAGTTCAAATGAGTAATATCAATAAAAATAGTATTAATGTAATTGTAAGAAAGTCAAAGTGGGAACAGATACCACAATTAGATGACCTTATTTCAAGTTCCAGAAAAGTTAAATCCTTTTATACACTAAAGATAGAATGTAACGTTAAAGATTGTGCACTTTTTTTTATACACATTTACGCTTTTTATATTATCAGAACAAGAATGAAAAATTACTGAAACAATTCCTCTTGTTTCTAATATTTCCATTATTCATGTACCCCCAGTCGGTATAAATACACTGTTTAGCTTTTCAACTCGAAATAAGAATTTAAGATTATTTATAAGCTATATAATTTTACAACTAAGAATGCAACAGAGAAATACGTGCGAACCATTCACACTCGAATTTACAAAACAGAACGCGTCAGGTAAATGTTTTTCATTACTAGAATAATTAATTACTTGAAAAACGTATATTAATCAACACGGTCTTCTTTGCTCTATTGAGTATTTCTGCCACGCATCTTGGGAATTTGTTTCCATCACTAACTTAAACATTTCTCCGTTCCTGCAAGTTTGCCTCGGAGCATTCGCTCTCCTCGAGAGTCCTTTATTCCAAAACAGGAAAAAAGTTTTAAATCTGATGAGAGCGCAGAAAATATTCGAGCCGTTCTGAGGCAGCCATCCTTGCATGACTGCTCTAACCTTACTTTATCGTTCGCGCTATAACTCTATTTTACGTTCTTCCAGAAAATTTCGAGTAAACTGCTTCAAAGTAGAATTATTCACTCATAGAGAAACGAAATACGTACCAAAGCAATTACCAGCAGCATTGCCTCACTTCAGTACGAAAATTTTAGAAAGTACATATAAGCTTTTGTAAACATATATTTAACTAGAAAAAATATTTTAAAGTTGTGTAAATTGAAAACACGAAAAAACAGTTGATATAACTTATAGAAATATCACGATGGTATAACAATAAATTAAATTTAATAAGCATCGCGTCCCATCGAAAATCTCATGTCTATTTACCACTCAAACGTTTCGCTGTTTCTTATCGGCATCTTGAAATATGCGAATCACGGAAGGAAACAACGAGGGTAAGTAGATACATACAGGAGTTTTGACAAAAAAGCAAGACGTACCTGTGACGCTGAGCAGCGACATATTCGAAGATGTTCCTAGTAGATCGGCTTAACGCGCTGAGAAATTCGCTTAGTTGGCCGAGCGGCACTTGACGTGGCGTGGAAATGCGTAGGAAAGTGATGCAGTTACACGTATAACGAGACACGCCGGATCAAAGTACCGCACTCGCGTATTACGGCGTACACAACCCCCTTTCCGCACCAATATTACTTTACTATTTTCTTGTTTTTCGCACTGTGCGCCTGTACTACACGTTAGAAATGCGTGAATGCGAGAGGAACACGACGCGCGCGTATACGGTTAAACGCGCATATTACACTCGTATTTATGTATATGTCTATTTATAATACGTATGCTTTCATATATATACATATATATATATATATTTGTATACGTGAATATTACAGAGGAAGGAACAGAGAGAAAGAGAAAGTGATAAAGGCAGAAGTATAGGCGGAAAGGGGAGGCAGAGAGTATCGGACAGAGAGGAGTACAATATGTATAAGTATGGTCGTGATATGGCGCTACGCGAATCGAAATTTCAGGGCAGAGTACGAATGCAACGAGCAGTTCGGTATCACACTCTTTTCCTGTTCGTTTCTTTCCCTTTAGGTTTTCTGATCTCTTGTCTCTTTCGTTTGATTACGTGTTTTCACAACGTGTCTTTCCTCGCAATGAGTTTTGTCCTATTTTGATAATACTTTGGCATACGTGCACCAATAACAAAACGAGGTAGTACACTTCCGTGTCTTCTATCGTAGCCCTGGTGGTGCAGTGTCGTCGCACGACGCTCTATGTCACAGAACTCGGAAGCGCGAAACGCCGGGCGAGATCGGATCACGATTCACGGACTCACGAAACAAATTTATTTACCCGTTTGCGCGCACTCGGCTATGAGAATATCGTCACTGACAATTCACGATTCACAAAAGATCACGCGCGCATGGATGCACTTCGTTTCATTAATCCCCTTTTACTCTAACCTGTATATGTCTCTGAGTATCCGAAAGCTCGGTTTAACGATCAGGTATACTGATCGATGTGCTATCGCGTTCACCGTAAACGTGTATGCACGAGGGGTCGTAACCGTTACCAAGCCGGTACCGTGTGAACCGCGTTGGCGATTACCATCGACACGATGTAACAGCAAGTGGCTGTTGGTCACGCGGAAAATCGTGCCAGGGCGTTCTGACGGTTAAGGCGATTACTCTTTGCTAGCACTGTTACTTCCTTGTCTATCGGTCCGACCACCACGTTCTCCTTCTCCTGTCCGCCGTGCACGTCCTGTTGCTCCTTTTTTGGTTTTGTCACAATCAATGATGCTGCCGAATCGAAATGTGTCGTTTGCGACTCGACGATTCTCGCAAACATTAACAGAAGTTTGTCCTCGTGGTTGTCGGCGAGCGTGCGGCGATTTGAGTTTAACAACGAGGCGGCGATGTGAGCAGCACGAGGGTAGTAGTAGCGGTAGTAGTATGAGAACGGCAACGGCAGCGCCAGCGCGACGCAGCTGCTGATCCTGTGCAGGTCGGTGGCCACGGTGTCTGTGTCGGTCTCGATGTTGTCATCTATCCGGCCAGAATAAGGCAGCATCGCTCTTACACCGTGTGATGATGCTTCTTCGAACCGCTTTTGTGCACCGTAGGTTCGGCCGAGCGCCTCTCGCTTCAGGAGGAGCGCCCACCGTGCCACCTTTCTCGTTATTATCATAGTAGCAAAGGCTGCAGTGCATGCGCCGGTTTCCACGTATACCGTGCTCGTCAAGGAACCGTACACCAACGACAGGCGCTACGTCCTTGTCGTCGTCTCGAGGCACCACCGGTTACGGGCATTTCACCACGATCACAGAAAAACCGGGACGGATAATGAAAGGAGACACGACGTTCCGGGAATTCGAGGAACAACGAAAATGAAACGAAGTATACGCGATGTGTGTACTGTACATATATGTACGACTGCTAGAGGCAGAGCTCGCGACAAATTAGTGGTGGGTAGAAGATAAAAAAAAGAGAGGGTTGTAAAACAAGAGAGAAAGAGAAAGAGAGAAAGGAAAACGGAGGGAAAAGGAAGGAGGAAAAGTGAAGGTATTAAGGGGTGGACGAGACAACGTAGCACGCACCACAAGGAGCAAAAATCGGAGAATTATTGCGAAAGAAAACCGATTGAATTCACTATTGCTCCCTCTGTAACTGTGTGTGTGTGTTAAATTTTCTCGGCGCTGACACTGTTCGCGACCTCCCCTTGTCGCGGGTTCTTTCTCTGATTGTTGATGATATTACGACGTGAAGCACGAAATGGAACCGTGGTGGTGGACGTGTATGGTGCACCGAATGCACTACCACATTAATACGGTGAAACGTTGTTGCGAACGTACGCGGACTGCTCGACGTCGAGCACTGTGCGGACGGAGACGCCTCCGACACGCCGCCGCCATCTTGCTACGTCAAGAGATTGGCACAGCGCGGGCGTCGAATAATCGGGGATGCACGAGCGCCACCGGCGTTCGACGGTCGTCTTCGACGAGCGACCACAAATCAGCCACCCCTTTCGACTGTTCTCGCGGAACTGCCGTGCATTTCGCTGCAATTGTCTTATTCCTTTTTAATATAGTCGATGTTTCTGTCCGACAACACAACGTTTAATCGGCGTCCGCTCGAATCTCTTTACAAATTCTTCACAACTACTCTTTCTCTTGTTGTTCATGATTAATCGTGCGTACAATCCGTCTCGTCACTTTCTCCTATACTCTTTTTCTCTTTACATCGCTTTACACGATGTAATACACAGCGTATAACAAATTGTTAATTATTACGATAAGCATCTTGCCAGTTAGAGTTTAAGCGACTTTTGCATATAGAAGTCTCCTGAACCTTCTCCCTCCACCCACGTGATGTGTTGCACAGGAAATTGATTAAACGAGGCACGAGTATGAATTAGAAATTTATAGCCTGAATGGGTTCCTTCACTTTCTGCTCGAGTACTTCGTTTATTTTAGATGCAAAGATTATTCGTTTGTCTGTTCTATTCAATCTCGACATGAAGCGGGAAGAAATATTCAATTAACAAATATATATATTTGCATTATCTCAATATACTATTTTCAATCATTTGTTTCTCTTCCTTAAATCCGTGTGTTACGTAAAAGGATGATTAAAAATAAAAGGTATTTCAATAAAATTTGAAACTGTTCTCTATTTATAATATATTATATTTATAACATTAATAACGCAAGCCTTATGATATTTCGAAGCGGTGTATTTTAGATAGAAAATAGTTTCATTAAAACAGTTGCACGTGAAGTGTTATTGGTCGCGTGAGAAGCGGTTATAGTAGAAAGTTGAACGAGCCAGATGTTTAGAATTCGGTATTTTTGCGACATTCGTTCCAAATAAAGCGATATATTGTGTAATAAGCTAATAATATCGCAAAAATAATTGTAATTGTACTAGTAAGCATTAATTACAAAATTTTTTTAAATAATTTATAAATAATCAGGAACTTTGTGTTACTTTCAATTTGTCATAGAATCATAAATTCTAAGTCATTTACAAACTAACATTAAGTAAAATCGTGGCATAGAACCAATAACGGATTCGTTACTCTTACATTAAATTGCATCGAATGCTGAGTTGTACCACTGGGAAATCGTTTCCGTTGTTCTGCGGTAATACTACTTGCTCGGTGGCCTCTGTATAGCAGTAGTAGCAGAGGTAGTAGCACTGACGTGTCTGACCATATACTTCATAAATCTACTTCGCTTCGTTTAGTGTAACGTAAACACGCCCAGGTAAGAATTTAAATTTCATTAATGCAAATAAATTGATGCAAGGAATGTCTAATGATATATAAGAACAAGTCACGCGTACTACGTTACATAACATAAATAAATCGACTATATTTACAATAGTACGTTACGTAATATACATTCCACCTTCAATTACTGATTACTAAAATTAAACTAATATTTGTTCGTTATAAAACGAAAAGAAATATATGCATCTTGGTTGTACTTTGAATTCTTTCCCATTGGCTTCAATTTTTCCTCGATTCTCATAAGTCTACATCTAGAAGCAATGATCAGCCAACCGTGAACGAACTGTATACAGTATACGAGCGCTGTATATAAATATATCGGAAGCTATATGTATAACAGATCCGTTGGATCTCGTGACTCGAAAGCCGAGAAAAATATTTCTAAAAAGCAGCCAAGGCAGTATTCAATATACGGTCGAAGAAAAGCGAAACTTTTGTGGCTCGCTTTCAATGCGTCATGTTGGCGGTCGTTTTTCTCGTTTCAGACATCACACGAAAACCATTTTACTCGAATCTTCTCTTTCAACTTCTGCTCGACGTCTAATCATTCACCATTGCGACTATCAATGTGTACTCTGAAGGTAAGTTTAATTAAATATTAATTAATAAAAAACTTTCCTTTTGCAAAAGATAGGCAAAATTAGTACACATCAATTTCTAATCGAGTATGCGGTTTGATTATGATGAAATTCATTAATATTTAAGACACGTTCTATGTGGTATTCTTCAAGGATGAAACTTGCGATAGAAACTGCATTTCGCCCAACGTGACGAAACTTTGCAAACAAAGTTTCTTCTACTGATTTCCCTAGATTCCATTACGCTCGCCAAACAGAACGTTTGAATTGTTATAACTCTGTTTTATAATTTCATTATATACCAACATAAGAATTGGAAACATCTATGATACATCCAGTTTTTAGTTACATGAGTATGATGAAAAATTGCTTTCATTTGGTATATTAATATTCAACGCACGATTAAAAATGATCGTTCGAAATTAAATGCATGATATGGAATCAGATATCAAATATGATTAAATATACATTTCCGCCCGCGCGCATTGTACGTGCTTGACATTTACCTAATGTACTTTATACATAAAATAATATTGATAATAGACTTGTATCTATAATTATGAATAAATTTAATATTTAAATAGAAATAATGGCATTCAATAGTAGGGTAATTCCGGAAGAGATGAATTAATTTAAAAACGTTTAGATATATTAAATACTTTATTTATCAATTTGTGCAATGAATGGTCTTCTCAACAACATATAATTTTTATAACACAATTGTTACGAATATTCTACAGTATGTTCTATTAGCCAATAATGGCATTCAATAGTAGGGTAATTCCGGAAGAGATGAATTAATTTAAAAACGTTTAGATATATTAAATACTTTATTTATCAATTTGTGCAATGAATGGTCTTCTCAACAACATATAATTTTTATAACACAATTGTTACGAATATTCTACAGTATGTTCTATTAGCCACCGATACTTATGTACTTTACGTATTCTCAGAGCTTCGATATTGCGATTAGTGACCCTAAGATTTTTGATTTCATACATATCTGAATTTTCTTAGATACGTATTCTATAAGCACATTACGTTCAAAACATTTCACCTAAAATGTTGTAATAAATATTTGATAGTTACTTTGACAATTTGAATATCAACAATTTTTACGAAAATGTTTCATTCTCTTAAAACTGCTTAGAATTGAAAATTCATTAATTCATCTTAACGAAATATTCATCCTTTACCTGATTACCTATTTCTATTGACATCAAGGACATTGTTTTGTCTGACGGTATACGAAGTAATCTACTTAGGGAGCTACTAGGAACGCAAAATGTGCTAGCAGATTCAAGCGTATTGATTTACCGAGCAAATAGTTTCGTTAATGTAAACACAAAGAGGACGCCAGTACTGAAATTTTGCGTTACACAGCCGTTAATTATACGTGTATTGCATTCCATTATTATATTACTATATGTATATCTATTTCACAATCAGTGAGAAAAGCAATCACTAGCTTTCTAGCATACTAGAATATCATCTTTTCTTTGTATACTTGTACGAAAATATTTGCAGTTTTCTATCAACGAGAGATAGCTATAATATTTATCTCTCGTTGATAGAAAGTGAATTGCTTCCAAAGCAATGAAAACAATAATTTAAGACTACAAATATTTTAGTTAATATACGAAGAAAAGATGATATTCTAGTATGTTAGAAAAAGTGTCGTTTTATAAATATTAACAATATTATAAAGTGTCGTTAAAATGTCGTATATGTTACGGACGAGACTTCTAAAGGTGAGCGTCTCAGCACAACGGTTTCGACACCGTTGTGTAGGCCACGTGCACGACGGTTCAATTAAGGGACCGATCGGGGCCGCTTTCCTCGCCCTAGGCCGATGAAGGCTGGTAAACGACGAGGCCCGGAACGGATGGAAAACTTGGGAGTGTTTCCTCTGTGGCCAGATACCCCCAGGAGACGTGTCGCTTCTTGAGGGAGACTCGCTTGTGTTTCCGGGAAAAGCTGGCTCGCGTAGCTCGCGTATCTCAAGTATCGGTCGTATTGTGCCTGTTTAGTCTTAGGTCGTTACCTTGCTCGTAAATATATTTGGTCGACGACGCTCGAGTAGATTTATTTATTACTGTAACGGCCGTTCCTGGCGTGGGTTTTCTCAAGAAGAGTTTTCCTCACGTCACAAGCGAAGCTTGGGTGAATGTGGGAACGAGCTGAGCTTTCTTTAATAATACATTTGTCAACGGACACGGCTGTGTAACGAGCGTTTGAAATGCGGAGTAAGAAAACTGTTTAGATTATTAGGACAAGCTTGGATTCGATAACTGTCGAACTTCTCGCAATTGATCTATTGCCTCTTCCTCGAAAGAGAACAGCATCAGCTCGGGTTTCGAGGGCTGAGTATAAACACATGGCTGCTGATAGCGTTGGCGTCCGCGGTTGGACGAGGTCTGGGGGGTCCAGTTCGGGCCGCGAACCGCGCGATGTTTAGGGCCTAAGTGTTTGGGGATGTTAGAAGGAAGGAGATTGGTGCGGACTCCGCCTGGGCGTGGAAGTCCGGGAAAAGGGCGGTTGTCAACCGAGAGATTGGGCATTTTCCACGAGGTTGATCATAAAAACGGAGAACGCTGTTTCCGATGATCGACGACGTCGATCGATAGCGAAGGAGGAGGCGGGTCTTAGGATCCAAATAAATAGCGGGCGCGTTTTTGAGAGGACACGGTTCAATTGGGAGTTGGTCAAGGAGTTTGACTCAGTTGGAAGTTAGAAGGTCTGTTGAAAGTTAGACTCAGACAGTTGGACTCAGGCAGTTGGTCCAGACAGTTTGACAGTTTAAGACAGTCAGTTAGTTAGCCTTTTGGAACTGAGCGATCGATCAGGAGAGATTCGAAAGAGAGTCGTCGGAGGGAGTCGTCGAAATCAGTCGAGAAAGAGAGTCGACCTGCGAATCGGAAAGGTCGCTACCAGCAGTCCGAATATAGGAGGTAATAAACTATTTTGAACACCCACGGTGCATTTTCGCTTTCCCTTGGCTGTTCACTCACTGGGAGTGTTAACAGTATATATAATTGTTTCTTTTATTTGTGCTTGTTATAAAAAAACGAAACGACTACTTTTATTTCGTAAATGAAATAACATTTTTTATAAAAGAAACTTCTACTCATTGTATGTTACCAAACGCGAATTTACAATTTTTATTCATTAATGTCCGAATGAATATTCTAAATATGATGACAAATGTGAAAAGAGTCGAACTAAAGTTTTCCTTTAAGTTTTGTTACTTTCTTTAACATTCGAAGTACTACACGAGGTGTGTAAAGTACAACTTATTATAATATTATTTTCCAAGGTAGGATCACAAAACGAAGAGTGACACTTTTCCTCTACATACATAATAAATACATATTAAACACTATGATGGATTAAATTAAGAATTGATAAGATTAAAAAAAAATTCATGCAAACATAACTAAACTACGGTAAAAAATAATTATAAGTTATTTTGAAAAAGAAAAACAATTTTAAAATAAAAACGTCTTTTACTTCATTAACTTCGTTATTTACTGTAATATTATTAATATGAACATAATTTTTATTTTATACTATTTTCGATCTTGTAATAAGATTTTTGTTCGCACGATCGATACTTCAGTCTGCAGTTTCATCGAACAAAAAATCTTTTCTGCAACAGTATACGTTATGTTTTCATGTTTTCATATTACTTCAATCATGTATTCTAATTTCGTATGCTAAATTATGCAAATACAATTATTCAGTAACATATTCCTACTATTTTCAGTTCATTACATATTATTTGAACACTTTGAAATGTATTCAAATTGAATTATTTTATGCGAAATATTAACGTAAACATATTAAAAGTGTTTTTGGAAATCTTTATAGACAATTTTTATGAGGTTGCTATTATTAGATTATATAAAAATCCTACGCAAAATGTTTCGTGAAATGATCAACAGATAGCTCCAAGAGCAACCTTCCTTACAATGGAAGTTTGTGCTCTAGCGATCGGTCACGTGGTCATAAGGAGCAGGCCAATCGTAAGCTGGATTACGTACCACGTGATCGGAAAAATCGAAATGGTGGACGTATCGGGACGCAGGATCCCGAGAGGAGACGAAGGACGATAAACTGGGCAAGGGCCCATTATCCGTGTCATCGGTGTTATTAATCGACGGACACGATTAACTGCGAATATTGGTGCGATTTCGTGCAAGTCCGACGACAAACGACGTAGCGCTGAAGAATCAGTGACAGAATATCTTGTTTACTGAAGTGTCAATCCGCCCGTATTGTACGTGTGTTCTCTTGTTACGAGAAAATAGAGGGACAGTGTGTGTCAAGTGTGTGAGATCTACAGCTGCACGTATAGTTCTTTCGATAATACGTTCCTGGTAATGCTATACGAAAAAGGGAACATCTCAAAAAAACGAACAAGAAGGAAAAGAACTGGAAATCGCGAACAGACGGCAGTGCATTTACAGTGAAATTTCAAGTCCATGAAAGCATGTCCGAGTATCTGAGGACTTTGGTGATTTATAAGAATGTGTCATACGGAGCATCTTGCTATCAGCGAAGGAGGTAATAAAAAAAGCATATTCTTCGAATAGAGGGACCTGCATGCTCTCGTTACATTCTTTAACGATGATATGTAACAAACTAGTGTCATGCTTGTACGAGAAATTCTTGATGACTTTAAGCCCGGTTTACTCTGTTGACGTTCACACTCGCAGATCGGTGCTGATTGGTGGTATGGTCCATGACCCGCCAATCGGCATCAGAAGACGATTTTCCTGCGAATGTCAGCCGTCAAGTCCGAAGCAATCGGTATCTCGGGAACGTATGTCGTTTTTCGCAATCCTTTGTGTATCCAGCAAATGATCGATGTATAATGATTACCGTTCACCCGAGATTTTATAATCTTACGTTGTTCCTTCTTTTTGTGATAAGATAAATTATATATCATCTAATTGACAAATTACCGGTAATAAGGAGACTCAGAAGGATATTTTTATGTGTATATAACACAAAATTCATAACAATGCATAAGCAAGCAAAAATAAAAACATTTTAAAGAAACAAAGAAATATAGAGATCTCTTTTTATCTCGTGTTAAGGTTAGAATTACTAACTGGAAAATATACACTTACTCATTAAATTAGATTGATTCTTATTGATACATTGTTTATACTTATATGTTGAAGTATTTGTATGAAAAATCAAGTGTAAATAGAAAGCAAAATATTTTTAAATTATAAATGTATTGAGAGTTATATTTCTATGCACCAAAGGAATTTGTCTGATAGTAATGTAACTATGATATTATTTGTATCTTGTAGCTGATTTGAAACACTGATGTGTCACATGTTTCTTTTTTTCAGATAAGATACTTCCTTAACGCACAAAAGTTTTATAATATGTACAAATGCAAACACATCTGTAATCTTTTGCAATAAGTGTATTAAAATACTCAGATGGCACAAGAATATTTACAAAGTATTGAGAACCTTGGATTATTGTATCAGTGGGAAAACTCGGTTACTGCCTGCCAACAATAGCATACCTATATTCTCTCCAAGTACATAGTGAATGTCATGATAAAATATGACGGCTGTCACAAAGGTTTTGTTGAATATTCAATTTTAAATACAAGATACCTGAATTGAATGCATTATTCTATAAATTTAAAATACTCTAACTATTAAAGAACAAAATCAATAAAAATCTATAAAGTTGACTGAATAAATTTAAAAAGAAAATAATTTTAACTACTCTATTTTATTATATGAAGGAATGCATCAGTCAATGTTTAAAATACTCTACGGTATTCTGTTCTACTGATCAAATTAAATAATGAATTTAAATAAAAGCTTCAAGAAAAATTTGTGGAATACTTCAATATTTCTATATACTGTGCTAAAATGAAAGAAAAGTAATATTCACAAATTTTTATTTTGTTGAACCAATTTGTGAGTAAGATTTGACGTGATATATACATGTATATAAATAAGGTCTTTTAGTTTATGAATATTGGCTAATTTTGAATGCATTTGACAAAACTAAATTAATGTAAGGAATACTTGTAAATAAACAATAAGAATAATCGAGACTGTAATAGTGAACATTTTTAAACAAAATGTATAAATGTTATTTTAAACGTTTGCATCAATGGCTGTATATAATTGAAAAACAAAAAGAAGAGGATACGATACATTTGAGATTTTGTCTGAATGATAGAGGAAAAATTTGTTAACCCTATACAAAACAAGGTAACTCCGCATATAATTAATGATAAATTTATACATAGTTATTGATTTACGATCAAATGACTATTATTTTGTTTCACAGGGTTAAAAAATGGATAGTTCTGGCTCAGGGGTAGTGCAAGTATTTGTGGGTGAATGGAGCCCAGAATATGAAGCACTTTCAATAAAAGCTACGAAGCAAACTTCATCAGCTGAGATAGTAGAGTGTATTATAGAAAGATTGGGATTAGGTGATGCATCTGCTTCTAATGGTTACGAGTTAGCAGAAGTAGTGGGCAACTCTGTAGGGCAAGAATGTAAAGAAAGAAGGCTAGGACCATCTGAGTGCCCTGTAGCACTTATGTTATTATGGCCAAAAAATGCAGTGCAAGAAGAATATTATAGGTAAACATTCTTCATGTTGATATTAACTTTTCACTTGATTTACTAACAGTTGGTAAACATTTATTGGATATTAATATTTCTTTCAATTTTTAGGTTCTACTTGCGTAAAAAACAACCAGATTACTTGTGGTCAGACAGTAGATTTCCCATGGATCCACAACTCCTCAAGGACTATTTCAATAGATTCTTGTATCAGCCTCGAGACAAGGAATATCCTGATCTATGTCAACTACCAGATCTTAATGAACAAACTCTATTGGACAACCTTCGGGCTAGGTTTTTGGCTGGAAACATATACACATATGTTGGCAGCATACTTATTGCATTGAATCCATTTAAGTTTTATCCCATTTACAATCCGAAATATGTGAAACTGTATCAAAATAGAAGGTTGGGGCCAGATATACCTCCACATATATTTGCTATAGCAGATGCAGCATACCATTGTATGCTTAAAGAAAAAAGAAATCAATGCATAGTTATCAGTGGTGAGAGTGGCTCGGGTAAAACAGAATCAACAAATTTTCTGCTACACCATTTAACAGCACTTAGTCAGAAAGGTTCTCATGGTAGTGGTGTTGAACAAACGATACTCAGTGCTGGTCCAGTACTGGAAGCATTTGGAAATGCAAAAACTGCACACAATAATAATAGCAGTCGTTTTGGAAAATTTATCCAAGTAAATTACAAGGAAAATGGAATGGTGCACGGGTAAGATCTTTTAAACATAGACACTCTTATGAGTAGAACACCTATGTTTAAGAAAAAAAAATCATTTGCAGAGCCGTTGTACAAAAATACCTGTTGGAAAAATCGAGAATAGTTTCCCAAGGTAGAAATGAGAGAAATTATCATGTATTCTATTACCTTTTGGCTGGGGCAAGTGAGCAAGAAAAGCAACTTCTGCATTTAGAAAGTTGTGATTGTTACAATTATTTAAATAAAAGTGGTTGTTACGGGCTCGAAAATGTTGACGAACGTCATGAATTCTCAAGACTGAAACAATCAATGGAAATGGTTGGATTCACACCAGAAAAACAGAGACGATTATTCGCAGTTTTGTCAGCTGTCCTCCTACTCGGTAATTACTAAACATATGCTGTGCGAAATTACTAAGTATCATGTATGAAATTACATAATGGTTCACCTTATTACTTCAGGTAATGTGGAGTTTCAACCTAGAAAATCTTATCACCACCATGACGAGGCTGTAGGTGTTAAAAATCCTGAAGTAGTCGCGTTAATATCAGAACTGTTAAGAGTTAAACAGGAAACTCTTTTGGCGGCACTTACTGCCAAACGTGCAAGAGCTTCTGGAGAAACTTTGGTCATCAACTATAGGCTTCCAGAAGCAATTGCGGCAAGGGATGCTATGGCCAAATGCTTGTATGGAGCTCTATTTGATTGGATAGTACTTCAGGTATGATACTGTGTCTATAAGTTGTGGGTACATATTTTGTGTGGATATACATCATGTGTCTTCGTCTGTCTTAGGTGAATCATGCTTTGCTTTCAAAAAAAGATACTCTTAGAGATCATCAAGGCAATAGTATTGGTGTATTAGATATTTTTGGTTTTGAGGATTTTAAAACGTGCAATAGTTTCGAACAATTATGTATAAATTATGCAAATGAACAATTGCAACACTATTTCAATCAACATGTTTTTCAATATGAACAACGAGAATACAGAAAACAGGGGATTAGATGGACAGACATAGGATATAGCGATAATTCAGGTTGCTTAAATTTAATAGAAGGGAAACCGAATGGCCTCCTTTGCCTTTTGGACGATCAGTGCAAGTTAGTATTTTGTGTCATTCATTTAACATTTACAGCAAGCAGCATATTTTAAAGTAAAAAAAAATGTAATAGCTTTCCGGGTGCAACGAACGAGACACTGCTACAAAAATTTAATTCAGTACATAAAGACAATCCGTTTTATGAGGCACCACAACGACGCGAAGCAGCCTTTGTTGTGCGACATTATGCAGGGGCTGTTAAATATCAAGCTGCTAATATGAGAGAAAAAAATTTGGATCTAATGCGGCCCGATGGAGTTGTTGGTGTATTGAAAAATTCTTCTCTCGCTTTTGTTCGAGAATTGGTTGGTGCAGACCCGGTTGCCGTATTTAGATGGGCAATACTTCGAGCATTTTTTCGTGCTCATTTTGCTTTTCAAGAAGCAGGTCGAGCTCACAGACATGGACGAGGTATTGTATTAACGAATTCTATAGATTGTATTTTGCGTTCTCACTAAATAACGAGAGGAAAATATTCTTTTTTCATTTCTAGCTGATGGTACGAAGACGTCTATTCAGAACAGGTATAGGACACCGAACGAGAATTTAATAAGGTACACATTACTTTCCTCTATTATTTTTGCATAATTTTTACTCTCATAAAAGGTGACTCGAGGATACATAATTGCTTGTATACTCATAATATAGAGCAACATTTATTAGTTAAATAATAATGATCGTGATAAACAAATGACAATGTTATTGCGCTTGTTTTCGAATATGTTTTACCTGCATATTATCTCACCTACGAAGTATAAATACGTTGTGCGTTAATAACATTTGCATCAAGCTGAAGAAGTTCGTATGTGTTTATAATTAAAGCAAACGTTAATTATATTTACATTGGCCACGTGTCTTTTGTCCCTGTAGCCATCTTGTGACGTTGTCGACCGTCAATCTAACTATTAACAGAATCGCGTAAGTGGTCCTTTGATCCACTGTATGTGTAATTTTGGCAAACATTACATTTTTTATGCTAACATGTATACTATGGATTTACAACATCACTTTTACGTTATGGCCACTTGAAGCTTGATCCATCAATTTTCAAAGCTGAAGTCAATTGATAACACGATAAATTGTACATTATGAACTGTTTGTAAATCCATATAATATTTTGCAGTCTTGTGTGTTAAAAATATTGTTTAGAAGTTTTGTATGCACTTTTTGTATTAAGTGTGATTAGAGTGCAATCTTAATCATAACTTTCGCTATACAGTCATATCCTGTTATTTAAGAATATATTAATTTACATACTGTTATTCTCAAGCATGATTAACAATTCAGTAATAATGTTTCATTTATACAATTCATACTGATCATTAAAATTTGCACTGTTCCATTTGGAGTCACTCATAAAATAGATTCCCCATAAAATCATGTTCTTTCTGCTATTATTCAGAAGACTTAAAAGCTCAAACTAAATATCCATGTTTAACAATATGATTACTATTTAGTTACATGAAGATGCTAAAGAAAAAAACTAAGCATGAGAGACTTTTTCAGTTCGCACAAACATAATCGTCCACCAAGCTATCAGAAGCAGCGCAGTGTCTGTATACCATCAGCTATACCCACAACCACATTATCTTCTATACAACTTGAAAACGACAATGTAAACAACAACCGATTGTCGTGGCCACAATTTCGAAACATTAATCAAACGCAACACCCGCCAAATGTAACCACCATGAAGGGTTATTTAATACGAGGCAGGGAAGACCAGCCTCATAGTAATAATAAAATCAGGCGAGATACTCACACCCCGCTAGAGAGGGTGCTTCCAAAAGACGAAGCAAACGTCATGGAACGCGCTAATCAAATAGTCATGTATGTAAACAGCACCTATTTAATATTCCATAACATTTGTAATTTATAAGCTGCAAAAAAAACTCACTGCTCTACGGTAAAAGGTAGTGTGTGCTCTTTATAGTAATCCTGGGTGATGGATTTCCTTGCCTAGGTAATAGCATTTCAATAGAATATTTAATGGTCTTCCCGTGCAATCACGACACAGCTTTTTACAAAAATATTCATTGTTCTACGAGATTCTCACCTTTGAAGGTCATCAGAATCATTTTCCTTGATATACCATAATACTCACGATCATTATCTCCTGTTCTTGTTACATTTTAATAATTTGTTTGTTCATAGTATAATATATCAGCTACAATGGATGCATGCTGACATCACAATAGTAGTTCTCTCACTTGTATAAAATTATATAAATTAGCCTGTTTAATTTGTATAAGTTCAATTAAAAGATCGCCGAAAATCAATAATCCTATTTATAGTGCATGTATAGAATCAAGAATGGACGACAAATAGTTAACTTAAAAAGAGTCTATAATAGTCTTTTCATAAATACATCCTTTACTGCTAGAAATTAATTGCAGTCAATTGCACGTCCTTTCATAGCATTCTACTTAAAATATAAATTTACTACTAATGTCTGTGAAAGCAGGACTTTACTAAGTTCATAATTTATAACGAATGCAAACTGCTTATTATTAACAATAATAGTCCCTGTCCGTTATGCATTTATTTACTGTACGAATCGAAGCAATATTGCCATCATACTACTAATTGTAAGATCTAAATCTATCAATGACTTTGCCATACGCGATTAATCGTAATATCATCTGCTTCACGCGTACGTTATATTTGCTATCAACTAATCACAAATTTTAAGAACATTTTGCTAAATGTATGCTATTATTTGATAGTACATTTGTAACAATAACTGGTTGTTACTATTTGCAATGCCTTATATGTCATTGTAATTCTCCCTTTTCTGTTTTTTCTTTATACATATCAAAACATTTAAAGTTTCTTAGAAACTAAACAAATAGGAAAGGGAATTTACAAAGTGTCCTTCAATGTTAATATATTGATGTTTAACACTTTACAGGAAAAATAAATCGTTCCGACCGAGAGAACGTGGTAAGAAGGGCTTAAAAAATCTTCAAATTGTAAAAACACTTGCTGGAAGAACACAGAGTTATGGAACGGGTCCTGGAAAAGCACGAAAGCAACCTATGACAGTATCAGCGCAATTTCAACAAAGCTTGCACAGTCTTATGGATACTCTGAACCAGGCGAATCCTTTCTTCATTAGATGCATTAAAAGCAATGCTAACAAAGTACCGAACAAGTTTGACGAGGAAACAGTACAACGGCAATTAAGATACACAGGAATGTTAGAAACAGTCAGAATAAGACAAGCTGGATTCAATGTTAGATTAACATATGAAGAGTTCATCCAACTGTACAGAATGTTATTACCCAAGGGCTTGTTGAGTTCTCAATCCGACGTTAGGGATTTCTTACTAACATTAAATCTAAATAGGGATAATTATCAGCTTGGAACAACTAAAGTATTCCTGCGGGAATCAGAAAAAATTAAGTTAGACATTGAATTGCATCAACAAATCATTACTAGTATCACGACTATACAAAAATGGTTTCGCGCATGTTTGGAAAGACGGAAGTTCCTTAGATTAAAGAATGCAGTTGTACAAATACAAGCATTTTGGAGGATGGTAATTGCCCAAAGGTTTGCAAGAACATTACGTGCTAGAATAGAAGCTGCCACCTATATCCAATCTACTTGGAGAGTGTACAAGCAGCATAATTGGTACAAGAAGTTTAAGTCATGCATGATTACATTTCAAGCTTACGTTCGGGGCAATAACGCAAGAAAATGTTTTGCGGAATTGAAGAAACGAAAGAAATTACTTCCCGATAAAATCGAAGATTGTAAAGACACTCAGAATAACAGCAGGATATGTTCTAGGCTTAGGGACAATGATGAGTAAGTAGTTGTAAGAGCTTCAAACAATCTGCAATACATATCTTTATCATTAACATGTTTCTATCCAATGTACAGATCGCTCATTGAAGATCACGGGTTATTAGAATTCACTACGTGTCGCAAAACTGAGTTTCAGAATCGTCTTGTGTCAACCAGGTAAATAAATATCTTTATTTCTTATATTACAAAATCAATTGTATTGTTAAATATGTAATTAATTGTAGGACGGAAAACGTGCTTCGAGATAGTACGATCGACATGTCCTATTCTAAACGCAAAATTACACCAAATACGAGAATCTTGCACGAACCTAATACAATTTTAAGAAATACGGACTCACTTCCTCCGGATGAGTTTAACGAGCGCAAAAGCAGTTTGGAGAGTTTAACTAGCTTAAGAAGCTACGAATCACAAATGAGCGTTAATAGTTCGGAATCTCAAGAAAATTCTTGTTGTAAACCGGTACCATGCACGAGAATAAAACGCGGCGATCAATCATCAACAAGTACGAACTTAACAAATACGTCAAGTCGAATGTCATCAGTTAGTAAACGAGCAGACAGCTCGTCGACAGGATATAGCGACGGCGAAATTGATACAGATATTCCAAGTACCGTACAAAGTGCCCCACCAATTTTCAACACTACCCCACTGTTTTCGAGCCCACGAGAAATTACCTACTATCAGTCCAACGTAAATTTATCGAACAGCCCGAATTCGGATGTCTGGCGCCGTAGAACAGATTTTTCATCCGTTAATTATAGTGATTATTTAATGTCCGGCCCTCAGAAGTCAACATTAACACGTTCTCCGAATGTCTCTCAATATAAAAATGTAGCGGAAAACTTATTCGATCAAACACAACAAGAAAAGCCAAACGAAGCGTCAAATTATAATGTAAAACTCGATAGTGATCGTTTTGTTCAAATGGAGAGTTCCACGAGTAGAGAACAACGCCGATTAAGCGACAATAGCGTGCCAAGTGATCGAATAGAAAATGTTCCAGTCTCACCCATTAGACGCGATCATGCATATGAACATAGTAGAGAAGTGAAGGATTTTAGTTATTTAAAACGGCAAAATTCGGAAGGAGATACATCCATAAAATTGGATTCTTTGAATGATGATTTAAAAAGTACTTTGTTAAAAGGAGGTTCATCAAAGGAGAAGAATTCGAGACCAAAGGAAAAATGTGAACCTGACGTACCTGTTAGGAGTGCGAGGAGAAACCGTCCTACTCGTGAGGTTCAATGTCGATCCATGGGCGAGAGTGTATCAGAAGCAAACAGCAGTGAATCGAAAAGTCTGTATCTCAGTACGATTAAAGAGAGTGATCTACATAAATCTACAAATGTACGAAACAGGAAGGACGAATTGCCTTCAAGATCGGTTACTGATTGGCCTGTTAATAAAAATGAAGGTGCATCAAAAACGCAACAACCTGGCAAACGTATGAGGTCCAATGCTATAACGACGCTAGAGCTCAGAAGACGAAACTCGGATCCAGCCACTAAAATATCGGGACTTGGCGATGCCAAATCTGGAACTGACACAAGTCCCAATGATTTGAAATTGGCACCCGGAATGGACCATTTAGAATGGAAAGGAAATCTTTTTACGTTAGCGGGTCATTGTTTCAGGAAAGTAGCCAGGTTTGCCAAAGATGACGTGTGTGTTTGTTGCCGTGAAAAGATGGATGCATTCGTTACACAGGGGTATAAGTGTATTGACTGTAAACAATTGTATCACGTGAAATGTATCCAAAATGGTGGAGTACTTAAAATGCCGTGTACGCTAGCGAACACTCCAGGCAGGCGAAAAAATAGGAAATCGCCCAGAACAACGTACGATGCCCCAAAACAGACAGTGCCGTCGAAATTCAGCTTAACCGGTACATCCGCTTTCTATGACAGCACTGACAAGATTATATCTGATGCGAAGGAATTAGCTTTGATGCAAGAATTTATTATGAAAAAGATATACATAATGGAGGGTCAAGAAGAAGGCAAAAAACCCAGCGAAGTGGATCGCGTATTCAAACAAGCTTTGCGTAAATTTAAGGACGACCTTGTAATCACCTACAGCGTTGCTACTCAGCAAGGCGTCGAGGGTAATATTAAATACACCGATTTGATAGCGAATTTTCTGCACGTAATGCAAACTGTGTGCAAACAAGAAAATACCAGTGAAGATTTTCCCGTGACGATGGGAGTGAACGCGTTTAGGGGATTCATGAACGAATTTATGACGGTGGTCAAAACTGAAGCACTCGAGAAACAAAGTAAAAGTAAGCGTAAAAAGGAAAAGAAACGAAAACAGGAGGAGCCGACACGACACGGCAATCATATGTTTCAATTAACTATTATTAATATACCCACCGCTTGTGAAGTTTGCACATCTTTCTTCATGTGGCCTATCGAGCGAGGACTTGTCTGTCAAAGTAAATATCTTTTCTATTATTTTCCTAGTTTATTTCTTTCATTCTTACTAATATGTATTTATACGTTGATTCTTTAGATTGTAAGTTAACGTGTCACAAGAAATGCTACACGAAGACAATGGATTGTGGAAAGGACGCTTCGCTGCACGATACAAACTCGCGGAAGGTGTTCGGTATACCGTTGTATAAATTAGACTGTGGTGACGGTAAAGTGCCAATAGTGGTAGATCGATTAATTACAACCATCGAGATGCACGGTCTTTACACGGAGGGCATATACCGAAAGAGTGGCGTCAGTTCGAAAGTGAAGGAGTTAAAGCTAAAGATGGACGAAGGTGATTTAGAGAAAGTGGACTTTGAAAATTACCAAGTGCATGTACTTGCAGCAGTATTGAAAAGTTTCTTTCGGGACATGCCTGAGCCTCTTCTTACTTTTGAATATTATGATGACTTTCTACACGCCGCGAATCTGACGGACCCTCGGGATCGGATTAGCACGCTCTTCGCCATTTTGAAGAAGCTCCCGAAGCCGAATTTCGATCTAATGGAACGTTTGATCGTTCATCTAGCCCGAGTGGCACTCCACGAAGTTGACAATCGTATGTCACCGTCAGCTTTGGCGATAGTATTCGCACCGTGCATTCTAAGAACGAACAGGACATTGCCTGCACAAGATTCGCTACAAGATGTTGGCCGGCAAACGTGTTGCGTCGAGACGATCGTACAAGAGAAATTGAGGATTGTCCGAGCGACTTTGGCTGATATAAATACCCTCGAGAATGCTTGTCAAACGGCGACTCATCGTTTGTCCAGTTTACGGTCTTCGAAGATTCTGAGTCCGGAAGAATTGAACGCGGCAACTGCAAATGCGACCGTGGGTGGCAGTGCGGCGGACCGAGACAGAGACCGAGGCGACGAAGAAGAGGCACTTCTCGTCGACCACATAGAAGAAATTCAAAACGAAAAGGCCATATTAACTGCAACAATTCCCAGCCTAACGAGAGCTTCTTCGGACGATGACCTACTTCTATCCGCAGATGACCGAGAAGGGTCTCTTGATGACCTTCCATCCTCTGCAGGTAAGTTTTTATACTTTTTATAATTCATATATCATGTGTATGTATAATACAGAGAGAAAGGAAAGATAAGTTTGGAGCAGATTTAGTAATGTATGTGAGTGTTGGTTGTAAAAAGAGCTACTCCCAGATTTCGATGTTTAATTTCATCGTTAAATACAAAAATCTCGACTTTTTGTATGAAGTGAATTATATTTCACTAATGTATAA